GGATAGCAATGAGGACTGTCAAAGGATACAGCTGGACATAGATCGGCTGTGACTTGGGCAAAGAGATAGCAGGTGGAATTTAATCCGGAAAAGTGAGGTAATACATTTTGGAAGGTCTAATCCAGATGGAAAATAGACAGTAAATGGCATAGACCTTAAGAGTACTGATGGGCAGAGGTACACAGGTCACTGAAAGTGGTGACACAGGTGGAAAAGGTAGTCGTCAAGGCATATGGCATGCTTGCCTTCATCAGCCAGGGCATTGAGTTTTAAAAAATTAGCAGCTAATGTTGCAGCTTTATAGAACCTTAGTTAGGCTGCATTTGGAATATTGTGTTCAATTCTGGTCACCGCATTACCAAAAAGATGTGGTGGCTTTGGAGATTTACCAGGATGTTGCCTGGTATGGAGGGCATTAGCCTTGAAGTTGGAGAAACTTGTTCTTACTGGAACGACGGAGGTTGATGGGTGAGCTGATAGAGGTCTACAAGATTATGAAGGGCATGGACAGTCAGAAGCTTTCTCCCAGAGTGGAAGAGTCAGTTACTTGGGGCAAGGTTTAAAGGTGATGTACAAGGCAAGTTTTTTTACACAGAGGGTGGTGGGTGCTTGGAACTTGCTGCTGGGGGAGGTAGTGGAAGCAGATACGATAGCGACTTTTAAAGGGCGTCTTGACAAATACACGAATATGATGGGAATAGCGGGACATGGCCTCCGGAAGGGTAGGGTGTTTTAGTTCTGATGGGCAACATGGAGGCTTGGAGGGCTGTAATTTTCTTTGTTCTTTGTTCTTTGTTCTAAACCAGTTTTGGATCCAATTTGCCGAATTGCTTTTGGACCCCATGGGCGTCTACCTCCTTAACCAAACTGCCATGCAATACCTTGTCCAAAGCCTTACTGAAGTCCATGTAGACTACATACAATGTACTACCTTTGTCGAGACACCTAGTCAGCTCCACAAATTTCAATCAAGCTTGTTAGACACTATCTCCCCTTTACAAAGCCATGCTGACTATTTTTGCTTAATCTTGTCCCTTTCAAATGGAGATTAATTGTATCCATTGGAATTTTTCCAATAATTTCCTTACTACTGATGTTAGACTCACTAGCCTTTAATTCTGTTTATCCCTACCACCCTTCTTGAATAATGGTACCAAGATAAGGCAATGGCCTAGCGGTATTATCGCTGGACTGTTAATCCAGAGACCCAGATAACATTCTAGGGTCCTGGGTTCAAATCCCGCCACAGCAAATGGTGGAATTTGAATTTAATAAATATCTGGAATTAAGAATCTAATGACCACTGTGAATCCATTGTCAATTGTCAGAAAAACCCTTCTGATTCACTAATGTCCTTTAGGAAAAGAAACTGCCATCCTTGCGTGGTCTGGCCTATGCGTGACTCCAGACCACAGCAATGTGGTTGACTCTTAACTGCCCTCTGGGTGATTAGGGATGGGCAATAAATGCTGCCTTACCAGTGACTCCCTCATCCCATAAATGAATAAAGAAAAAATAAAGAATAAAGAAAGTCAGGATGGTGCGTGGCTTGGAGAACTTGAAGGTGGTGGTGTTCCAATATATTTGCTGCCCTTGTCCTTCTTGTTGGACTTGGTCATGGGTTTGGAAGGTGCTATCTAATGAATCTTGGTGAATTTGAGGTGCATTTTGTAGGTAGTATGCACTGCTGCTGAGTAGTGGTGTGGAGAGCAGAGATATTTGTGGGCATGGTGCCACTGGAGCAGGATGCTTTGTCTTAGATGCTGTCAATTTTGAGTGTTGGAGTTGCACATATCTGAACAATGGAATATTCCATCACACCCCTGACTTGTGCCTTGAGATAGTTTTAATGAAAAGCTCAAATGGAAGATAACTTTTTAATTGTTCTATTAGCTGGACCATATATGATGGGAATAGTGTAAATTTGCCTTATCTGATTACATGCAGGCTGAGTTTCCACATTGTTTATATTTGCTGTGACACTTTTTAGTCCTGTTGTATTTGCCTATTTAAAATTCCCACACTTATACCCAACTGAGAGAAATCCCCAGAAGAAATTGACATGCCCATTGCACACCAACTGTACATATTGGTATCCAAGGCAATGTTGGGTTATTACATCAGTATATTTGTAAGAAATATGCTCCTTTTTGTATAATATCAACTGACCTGAGAGTATAACGGTGTAAGGTTCCTTGAGAATGATGTTGATGGAAGAATACTGCTACTTGTAACCAAATAGCTTAATTTTAGCCCAGACATGGAGGTGTTTGTGCATGTAATATTTATTTATATCAGGTGAGTTAAATAAACATCAGTTGGATCTTTTTGATCTTTCTACCCAGGTCCTAGTTCTTTTCTGTTACCTTAAGCATTTGGACAGCAGATAAAGTTACCCTATTCTGAGGCAGGGTCACCGGATCCGAAACGTTAACTCTGTTTTTTCCTTCACAGATGCTGCCAGACCTGCTGAGCTTTTCCAGCAACTTTGTTTTTGTTTCTGATTTACAGCATCCGCTTTTCGGCTTTTATTTGATAAAGACACCTTGCTGGAGGCACATCCTAAAATGTCTCTGATGTGCTGTCGGGACTGACCCTAAATCCCTATTTTGAGTCTGGGAAAGCTTAACCCTTCAGGAAGTTACTTATGATCAAAACTGTAGAAACCTTATAAACTGTGAGGACAGTGCAATGCTTGTCACTTTACCAACATGATTGTTATTTGGCAGATGAAGTTTAATGTGGATATATTTTGGCACAAAGAACACAGATTATATAGCATAAAGCATGATTAGTATTCTTAATGATGTGCAGGGATACAGAGGCCCGAGTGAACATTTAAATAAGTCATTATGGGTGACACATGTAGAGAGTGATGTTTAAGTATGCAATATTTTAGACTTCATTAATAGGGGCATAAAGTATAAAAGCAGCAAAGTTATGCTGAACTTAAGACACTGGTTTGACCTCTGGAGTATTGAGTACAATTCTGGGCACTGCAGAGCAAGGGCAGGAATGCTTTTGGGTGAGAATGGTTCCAAGGATAAGGATCTTCAGTTATGAAGAAGTCAAGATGGTAATTTCCTATCTGGTGGAGAAGGCTAAGGGGAGATTTAGCTGACGTTTGCAAAGTTGCGAGAGATCTGGGAAAAGTGGATATGGAGAAACTGTTCCTGTTTGTAAAAGGATCAAGAATTAGAAGACAGATTTAAAATGTTTTGCTGAAGAAGCAAATGCAAGGTAAGAATTAACCTGCCCACACACTAAGTGATCAGTGCTTGGAATGCTCTGCATGGAAATGATTGGTGGTAAGCTCAACTGAGGCATTAAAAAGGGCATTGTCTTTCCTAAATTATGTAAAGTGCAGGGTGATGGAGAAAAACCGACAATTTGGTGCCAAGTCAAAATGCTCAAAAGAGCTGATGCAGACACAATGGGTTGAATAGCTGCCTTCTGCACAGTAACAATTCGGTGGCTCTGATTAAAGGGGAAGTGATGGCATCGTGGTGGTATAGCTGGACTGTTAATCCAGAGAGCCAGACAATGTTCCAGGGACTCGGTGGATGGTGGAATTTGAATTCAATAAAATATTTGGAACTAAATCTAATGATGACCATGAATCTATTGTTGATTGCCAGAAAACTCCATCTGGTTCACTAATGTCCTTTTTCAGGGAAGGAAACTGCCATTCTTATGGGGTCTGGCCTACTGGTGGTTCCAGACCCACAGCAATGTGGTTGACTCTGAACTGCCTTCTGGGCAATTGGGGATGGGCAATAAATGCTGCGTAGGCAGCAACACCCTCATCCCATTAATGAATGAATAAAAAAAATTCACCTATTCTGAAAAAAATTATTCCATAATTTGCTAAGTGACAATGGATGCCTACAATTCATTATTTACATGAAAATAATACACGACTTCAGGCAAAGAGAATGAGCAGAGAAATGTGGAAATTCAAAACGTGTCCAAAATGTTGGTGTCTATGATCTATTTTATTTTGCCCTCTGTCTGCTTCGCAATTCAAATGTATTGAATAGTTTGTTGCTTCATTAGTGTTGGATGTGCACTAAATTCACTGGAGAAGGTTAAGTCTTGCAGGCTGAAAATATTCTTTTAATGATGTGTGAGCGTTAAATGCTGCCAGTCAACTTTGGCACAGAAATGAACTAATTAGAAGTCTCGTTCCTTTAAGCTTTATTTGTTGAATATTTTTTAAAAAATCCCATTTTATGTTCTTCCTTATTTTTATCCTTTTGGATTGAGAGAAAATAAAATAAACCATGTTTCTTTCCCCTTCTGCTGTGGTTTATTTGACTTTGAATTCACCCAATCTAATTTCATTTCCTTCCCCTTTTTTTTTGTGCTGTTAATTTCACAATTGTTCAGTCTGATTAAGGAGTACCAAATAAACATTGTCCCCAAGTGCCCAATTTCTCTTGATGTAACGTTGAGCTTGTGTTTTTAATCAACTTCCACAAAAGATTGTGGCAATTAAAAAGGGAAAGATGGGCAGACATTTAAATGCACTCTCAAATTATGGCTCTCTGTATGTTTGCTTCAGTATCATTCTGTAGTGCCATTATTCACATGTAAGCCTTGACGTATATGTGTATGTCGTGTAAATGAATATTGAGGCCAAACACAGTGCAGGTGTCCCTTTCTCACTTATTAGTCCATAATACAATTGCTCATGTCTGGATTCCCAAACAACTACATTTAATAGCTGATACATTGGTCAGTGGTATTATGCATTCATTTATGTCTTGAAGTTTGCATGGAGAAACAGATGGCTCAAAATTTAAAACATTGGCCACAATGGAAAATGCTACTTGATGAAATCACAGATGTCACATTTTAATGCAATCAGTAGAACCAGCAAGTGTACTTTTAAGTTTCTAATGATGTGGGGATTTCTCCCCTTGTTTGCGTGTTTTTTTTTTGTTCTCTGTCTGGATTGAGAGGCATTCACATTTGGGTATTTTCCTTTATTCTTGCAGGACTGATTTTGGGACGTGTCGTGAAAGTCCCATCGGGCCATCTGTACCGTGTTGTTGGAACTCCAGTCAGCATTCCGTGTAACGTCAGTGATTATCAAGGGCCGGCTGAACAGAACTTTGATTGGTCTGTGACCCGCGCAAACGAACACTTTAGGATTGTCAGCACGTTGGAACCTGAATTTTCAGATGCTGAATACAAGGAGAAAATCCAGAAGAAGGAAATTTGGGTGGAGAGACTTAGTGACAACTCTGTTGAGCTGCACTTCGAGAGTGTCCAGTTTGAGGATGATGGGAGATATCAATGCCAGACCCCTAGCACAGACGAAAATAGTTCTGGAAATTATGATGATAGTGTATTTTTGCAGGGTAAGTTTTGTAGAGGATGAATTAACTGCTATTTTAATTTTCAGTGGATCCAGGTTTACAAATTGATTGCATTTGTATTCACATTACTTATTAACTTGAGGCAAAATGTTAATTTTTCCACTTTTTTTTTCTTCCTTGGTCCCCTAAATTTTCTGCCTGATGCTGGTTATGATTCTAGCAGCTGACTGCTATTTCAATCAAGTACCAACTCTTGACCAGAATCAAGAGTAGGTTGTTCAGCTGTGGAAATATTGTTTATAATTATTCCAGCTTATTCATAGCTTTTTGCCTTTTCTTGTAAATGTGCAAATGCATGCAGCCTTTCTGATAGCTGTTCCTGGTTACTGAGCATAAAAAAAAGGAAAACTGAGCCCTTATTCTTCCCCTTCCACCCTCAAGAAAAGGGGTTCCATTGCTAACTGTTGTACTTAATTTAACTCCGTCTTGAAAGTAAAATACTGCAATTTACATTTTGTCTCCACACCCTGTCCCAAATATGGGTTGCCTTGGCACACTGGCCTATGTTCAGTCAATAGTAGAATAACAAATATGTTGTTAGATTTCAAGCTAGAAAGCATTAGTGCTGTCATTTTAATTGAAATAGTAATTAATGGAAGTTGCAAAAAATCAGTGCCATAGTTCAATGGCAGATTTTGTGATTGAGTAGTGATGGAGACATGACCAACATTGTCCAGGGAAATTAACTGTTGCTTTTCAAAAGTATGTAGCCTGGACAGGGGAGACTTGATTCTATAATAACTTCTGTTTTTATGTTGTCTACCCTTTAGAGTGGTAGAAGAGAGCCTGCTTCAGAGAGTATTGGCTGACCTAGAGGTTTCATGTTAATAACTAGATGAATCATTCAGTATTTTTGTCCTGTAATGTTGTTTCACAATTACTGTCACTAGGCTTTGTTGTTACTTGTCAGTTTGGGAATGCTAAACAATCCATCTGATATCCTTGCAAAGGTCTTGGGAAGCTGCCAGTTCCCACAATCGGTTTAGCTGTGTAGAATGGTTCTTTAAGTGAATTCAGAAGCATAAAGTCAATGAAATTTGAAAAGTGTTTATAGAATCTTTGTTCCAGTCTCTACCTTCCAGGGTGCAGTGTATAAAGTACAAAAATAGAGATAGTGTTCAACTTGAAGCCTCACCATTGATTTATACGAATTAAAAATTCTGGCCTGTTTGGGTGCCTTACTTCAGGAAAGAACTGGCCAGAGGAGATACAGGGAGATTCACTAGGATGACGACAGCATCATAGTAGGTAGAAATTATAAGTGGGAAATGGGTGATGAGAGAAATCAGAAAAAAACAGTTTCTACGGCCATTCAGGTGGTTTTGAGAAGGGTTGAGTTTAAAGAGCACTGTCAAAAAACAAACTCTTAAAGACTTCTTAAGTTGATAAACCTGGAATGGTTTGCCATAAACTAAATGAAGGGCGCCATATTTAATTGTTGCAGAGAATGTTGCTTCAAAGTGCACAATGTCTGCTGTATCTATCACATACATTTAAAGTTCAAATTATCAAATGATAAAACAATTCTGTTGTTCTTTTACTTCAACATTTGTATTAAGCTCAACTAATAAATTTTCCCAAATACTTTGGTGGGGGCAGGGGGTGTTGGCGGCAGATATACTCCTGACAAGGAGATAAAATTAGAACTGAAACTAGTATTGAAATAAGGCATTGTTATTGTAAGAGATCAGGTAAAGCTCTTGGTTCTAGTTTGATAACTATTCCTGTCAAGCATCTTTAGTCTGGTTTTGTTAGTAACTCTTATGCATTCTTCTTCAGTGATCCCAGATGGACTGACTGTATCACCTAGAAGGTCCCGAAGTGCAAAGCCTGCAAGTTACATGGAAGGGAAATCACTGGAACTTCAGTGTGTTGCGAGGACAACTTCATCTGTTTCTACTCGTGTCTCTGTCACATGGCAGTTAAAAGTGAATGGCAGCAAGAGTCGAGACATTCTGTCATTCACTGAAGACAGTTGGATTCAGCCTGGTGGCTTGTACAAGAATAGGTATCAGAGTGGTGATGTTAGAATGGGAATAGAAACAAATGGTATCTTCAAATTAATCATAACCAGTTTGCGACCTGAGGATGATGGTGTTTACTCCTGCGTAGCAGCAGAATGGGTCAAAGAAGATGGCTCCAAATGGAAACAGATTCAAGAAAAAAATACAGATATTGCAGTGATAGAAGTGCAGCAGTTGGGTATGTTATTTTCAGTCATCCTATAATTTGGAATGGATTATTATTGCAAATATTATGGAATGATCAATCCCTCTTTCCCTGGGGTGGGTGGTTTGGATGGAGTCGCTAGTATATGTCAGATTAGTTTTTCAAATTCCATATTTGTCATAAACATTGCCCTTTTAAGTGGACTTTTGAAACCTCTGAAGATGAGGATCGAATTTTACATTGAGCGTAAAAGTAACCTGTCGATGTGTTCACCTCCATGGGGTCTTCTCCATGTTGGCATGTTTTAAACTCCTATTCTTCATCTCTACTGGGGGAGGCAGTGATGTCGCAGTAAACCCAGTCTCCTGGATTTAGGATTACTAGCCCAATGTTCTGGAGGTGTACATTCAAATCAGGTTGTTTGAAATTCAAATTTCAATGATGTGGAGTAACAAGTGGCTACAATGTAATTGCTGTCAAATTTAAAAAAAAAAATCCCATCTGATTCATTATCCTTCGGGGAAGAAAATCCGCCATCCTTGCCTGACCTCGCTTCCATGTGACTCCAGACCAACATCAATGTGGCTGATTCTTAACTGCCTTCTGAACAATTAGGGATGGGCAATAAATGATGACCTAGCCAGCTAGACCCACATGTCATGTAATTTTTTTTTTTTGGTTCATTTTTTTAATAATACGAATCATGCCAAAAAAGAGTTAGCACAATACAGGGTTATGTAAAAAGATGTTTAAAATGTGAAATGTGTCAATTATAAAACATTTTAAAGCAGTTAGTTTTGTGCAAAAGCATGTTGAGGAAGCAGGAAGGGTCTGGTAATGTTTTGCATGGGATACTACCAGATACGACGTAGGATAAATATGAGAGCTAATCAGTTGAATTGAGAGCTGTTCTAAATTTGTTATTTAGAACTTGCATGCATTGGAAAGGACACGTTTCTTTCTATTCTGTCCATATATATTAAGCAACAAGATTAGAAGAATTAAGTCGATGAGCAAGAGAAACAGTTTGAGGGTTGTTGAAATAGTAGAAAGTACTACTGGAGTTGATAATTAAAGTGAAGAAGATGGTTTAAAAATTCCTCTTGAGCTGCTCAGCGGTAATTAATCAGCAATGTCAGTATTTAGAATTCAATAGGTGGTTAAAGGAGCAAAGGATGTGAGAACACCAAGGAGGGCATGCAGAATCAAATGCTCATGTGAAGAATGTATAATGTAACTCTGTAATCTAATGGTTTTATTGGTTGAATAATTGTTTTTTTTAAACCACAATAACTTGGGTCACCCATCTCAATGGTCCATCTTGCGACAGATGGCAAAGTTCTGGTAACTGTAGAAGTTTGGAATACTCCTAGGAAGAAAGCCTACTAAAGAGCATGTAATGGCTCAGTGGTTAGCACCACTGCCCCTCAGTGCCAGGGAGCTGGGGTTGATTCCACCATGAGGCAACTGTCTGTGTGGAGTCTGCACATTCTCCCTGTGTCTGTGTGGGTTTCCTCCAGGTGCTCCAGTTTCCTCCCACAGTCCAAAGATATCAGTTAGGTGGATTGGCCATGCTAAATTGCTCATAGTGTCTAGGAATGTACAGGCTAGGTGGCTTAGCCATAGGAAATATGGGTTTACAGTGGGATGCTCTTCAGAGAGTCAGCGTGGACTCAATGGACTGAATGGCCTGATTCCACGCTGTAGGGAATCTGATTCTACAAACACTACAATGCTATTTGTTTGTTTATTACAGCCCAGACATTAAACGTCTCTACGATCGGTCAGAAGCTCACTTTGAATAAAGGTGATGAAATTGACCTCATCTGCAACGTAACAGGAGTTGAAGACACGCAGACAGTTGAAGTTTCCTGGTATTTCAGCACATCTGCAGCAAAGCATCCTCCAAGTGATAAGGTTCTAGTGAGCTTGAACCGGGCAGCAGTGGTGAGCGATACTGTCTTTGTCACATTGAGCAAGATTAGTAGCAGTGAGTACCGACTGAGAGTGCGACAAATTGACGAAACAGACAGTGGATATTACTACTGTATAGCCTCGATCTGGGTTCCGTATACCAGTGAGATTTGGCACAAAGCAGCAGAGGGAACGTCCAGTCCAATTGGTGTCATTGTTGGTATTTTAGGTAATTTTAATACTTCATTATTTTAAGTGCCAGAGTAATTAACTAAAGCCCATGCGTATGAAATTAGAATGTTTATAAAGGATGTCTTGTGTTCCATTTTCATCTGTTTGCCTTGGCACATTTACTGCATGACACAATATTAAAATGGAATTTTGTCTATTTAAGCTTTTAATTCAAAGCTGCATTTGCTGCAACTGCAGGCGATGCACTCCCCACCCATGCAGTTATTGTCTGTAATGTAATTGCAAATTTTGCCATAGGCACCTTCTTGCATCAAAGGCTAGGTCTGTACATGACATTAAGCAAAGTTAAGAGTTTAATGCGTGCAGCAACTATATAATGTAGCTTTTGCAAATGTTTTGTGTCAATTCAAATTCTGGGATTGAAATTTGCTTGCCAAACCCTCAACACTTCACCACCCTGCTTGCAAAGTTGCTGGCTATCCTGTTCCCTTGTTGCTTACCATTCTCTGTGGACAAGCAGCTAGTGACATATTGACAGGAGTTGGGAGTGAGACAGCCAGTGGGGTAGCCCCAGGTGATTGGTGACCAAGGTGATGAGTGCTTGGCTATGCATATTGTGGTCAATATCTAATGGGCAGAGTGGGTACCACCTCCAGTTCCATATGCCTACTGACATTAGTGGCACTGACTTGCTATCCCAGTGCCGTAGCAGGTGATGCACTGCTTTACGTACAACTAACTCAAATTCACTGTGTTTTTATGACAAATGATAATTGTATGTTGGTTTAAACTGCTATGCGAGGTAAAAAGATGTTTCCAGAAGTATGTACCATTTTGAAAATTGATATCCTACAAACTAAGGACATGAGGATGGGTGCGAGCCGAAAATGTTGAGCTCTGACTGCATCGCTGAGATCCTGCCAATATTTAAATGTTTTGGAAATTGGGTTTGATGCTTAGGGTAACGATTTTCCTGGAAACACTAGAAGCGTATCCATAAGGTTTCTTTTTTCTTTAATTCATTTTTCTTTAATTCATTCATGGGATGAGGGTGTCGCTGGCTAGGCAGCATTTATTGCCCATCTCTAATTGCCCAGAGGGCAGTTAAGAGTCAACCACATTGCTGTGGGTCTGGAGTCACATGTAAGCCAGACCAGGTAAGGATGGCAGTTTCCTTTCCTTAAGAACATTAGTGAATCAGAAGGGTTTTTCCAACAATTGACAATGGATTCACGGTGGTCATTAGATTCTTAATTCCAGATATTTACTAAATTCAAATCCCACCATTTGCTGTGGCGGGATTTGAACCTAGGACCCTCGAATGTTATCTGGATCTCTGGATTAACAGTCCAGCGATAATACCGCTAAGTCATCGCCTCCCTTTTGTGGTGTATATGGTTTTTGTTTTACAATCCCTGATTTACTTTTGGGCCATTAAGAAGATGAATGTTATTCCAGGGTCTTTACAAGGAAGCCAGCAGCCCTGTGCTCCTGTGCGTCATGGTAGATTAAACCTTTTTTGTCTTCTGCCTCTTCCACCTTCAGCCATTCACAGACCCCTTTGACTCCTGACCCCACTTAGCTGCTTGCTGGAAGAGATTCTCACAAGATCCCAGTAAGAACGCACTTGTGCACTTGTCCAGCTTCTGCCTGGTGGTGTTGATGCTGTGTTCAGGTAAAGCATTTTGTCCCCTCTATATTTAAATAACTCACATGAGTTAGAATGACCTATGCAATCCACTTTCAAGTTGAGGCTTCATGCTGCAAACCAGCAATTGACTAAACTGGCTTCAAAATAAAGATTTCCCTTCCAGGCTGTTCCTCACTCGTAAGTCCCGTAAATAGGAGCAGGAGCAGGAGCAGATTTTACATTGTCAAACTTACTTCACGGTTAATATGATCATGGCTGATTTTTGGCTTCAGCTGTAATATCTGTTCCTGATCCCTTGATTCCCTGAGAGTCCAAAGATCAGTCTGTTTCAACCCTAAATGTATTCAAAGATGTAACATTTACATCCTTAAGGCGCAGAATTCCAAAGATTCACGGTCCTTTTTGAGCGAACAGTTCTTCCCACATCTCCAACCCAGATGCTCTGCTCCATCTTGAGACACTAGTCCTGTGTTCTACATTCCCCAACTAGGGGGAGTGACCTTTGTATCTATCCCCCTCAGCATGTTGAATGTTTCAGTGAGATCACCCTCATTCTTCAAAATTCTAGAAAGTAAAACACCAATTTAGCCTAATCATAGGATATCCTTGTTATTCCAGGAACCATTAGAGTGGACATATGCTGTGCTAGCTCCAATGTAGATTTGTTGTGGATGTGGAGACCAAAACAGTATTCTCCAAAGGCCTGTACAATTGTACAAGCAACACTGCATTGTTACAAGGCAACTGGTGCTTTAGAATAAAGACAAGCGTGCTATTTGCTTTTCTAATTATTTATATCTGCCAACTTTTTTGTGATCTTTGCATAAATACACCCAAGTCCCATGAATATCATTTGCAAGTTTTGCACCTTTTTGATTTTTCATCCCTACAATCAAAGGGAATGACCGCACTTGTTGCCCACTCATTTAATCTAGTTGTATCTCTTTATCCTCTTCCATCCTCGTTTTTTTTTTTCCCTTCCTTGCAACCTAGCTTTGTGTTGTCAGCAAACTTAGATATTATTTGCTCTCTGGTCTGCTAAATTGTCAATATAGATTAGAAATATTTGAAGCCTGATCTTTGTGGCATTTCACTAGTCACAATCTGCCAATGCAAGATTCTCCATTTATTCCTACTCTTTGCCCATTTAACCAATCCGCTATCCAAGCTAATATGTTACCCTAGCTCTCGGCTCTTCCCTTGTCTGTTAACCTTTTTGTGTGGCATGTTATTGAATGCCTTTTGGAAGTCCAGGTTTTACTGCATCTACTGTCCTCGTATCGGCCAGCTTGCTAGTTACATTCTGAAAAAATGATTATAAATTTGAAACCTGATTTTCTTTTTCTAAAGCTACAGTCTGATTGGACATTTTTCTAAGTGCATTATTAAGACCTTCTTGGATTCCAGTATGTTCCCAACAGTTTGTGAGGCTAATTAGCCTTTGGTTCCCAGTTTTCTTTCCTTTTTCCTACTTTTCTCTTAAAGGTGTAGTGCAAATTTGACACTCCTTTGCCTGATCCAGTGTCTGATCATGCATTGGATTTCCAAATTCAGACTACATTTACAATTTGAAGCTGCAGCTTTAATGTGAATGTATGGTAACATTTTCCTGTGGAGTTGTTTACTTTTTGGTTGGTGTGGCTCATTGGGCCTAATTGCCCATGATGTCCCTTTTCTTTTCTCAGTTGTTTTGAAATAGCTGAAGGAAATTGTTTCTGGCAACTTGTTCCTGGACCTCATTGGAACTCTTTTGAAATCCTGGTGTACTTAGAGTTTCTTGTGTCGTTATTTGAACCTGCAAACAAATCTGGAGATTCAGGCCTGGATATAGAAATGCTGTTCTAAGTGGAATGTTCTTCTAACACTGTTAACCAGTTTATTGAAGAAAGTTAATCCAGCAACCCAGATAATGTTCTGAGGACTTGGGTTCGCATCCTGCCACAGCAGATAGTGGAATCTGAATTCAGTTGAAAAAGCCTGGATGGATAGATGAGTCTCTGATGACCATGAATCTATTGTCGATTGTCAGAAAAACCCACCTGGTTCACTTCAGGGAAGGAAACTGCCATCCTTACCTGGTCTGGCATGCATGTGACTCCAGACCCACAGTAATGTGAATGACTCTTAACTGGCCCTCTGGGCAATTCAGGATGGGCAATAAATGCTGGCCTAGCAGTGCCCACGCCCTATGAATGTATTTAAGAAAAAAATCCAACTGCAATTTTTTTTTGTTGACCTTCTTTAAATACTTACCTATCCGATCACCATGTAATGAACTGTATCAGTTGAATTTCTTTTGAGATTTATTATTATAAATAATCTTCATTCTGATTGCATCCACAGATCCTACATACACTGTTCAGCTAAACTCCATCAAGGTACCTAGTTCCACAGGGGAATCGGCTGAGCTTGAGTGCCGGGTGTTGGACTTACAAAACGCAGATGATGCAAAGCTGACTGTAGCCTGGTATGTCAGCCCAAAACAGCTCAATGGAACTCCAGAAGTGACTGTGCCTATAGCAACCATGGATCAGGATTGGACCCTACAATTGTTTGATGAATATATTGAACGTGCAGAAAAAGGAGAGCTCATATTTATGAAAACTGAGCTACATACTTTCAAGTTTCAGATGCAACAGGCTCTAGCCTCTGATAGAGGAAAGTATTTTTGCAATGTTACTGCCCAGGTTAAACAACGAGGTAACACATGGTTGAAAAAACAAGAAGTCTCTTCAATTGCCATTGATATTGACTGGAAAACAGAAGGTAAAATATTTCAACAGTTCTTTGTAAGGTCTCTTCTGCTTTTTAGAAAATCTAAAGTTTTACTGTGTATATAAAAATGCTTTTCTTTGAAAATAGAGAAAAATTAAAATTATTAATCAACACTTTTGTAAGCAATAGCACAGACAAGATAATACTGTTAGATGTTGCTTCTAAATGGTTAAGACGGGATGGGTCTAGTGAATTCATTCTTCCTTTCCATACCACCACTACCAACAGAATTCCTTTTCCTTTTACTTATTTTGCGTGATTGTGAGAGTGCAATGTCGGTTACTGTGGGCAGGAATTGTCAAAAAGCTTTTTGATTAAGCAGATTGTTTAGCACAATGTAGTGGAACAATTCATGACCAAAGTTGGTGTGTATCATACATCAAGTATATTGTCTTTAGATTGTAACAACTGGTGGTTTAGAATTATAAAGAATCTATCCTTTTAATTGCATTTAATAGTATTTCCTTCACTTCGTAGATCCAAGCCTGAGTATTACAGCAATAGAGGAGAAACCAGTATCCACACGAGGAAACACTTTTGAGATGATCTGTAGTGTTTCTGCAGAGCATGTTGAAGTCCCCCATTACTCTGTGGCTATAGCAATGAATGAACCAGCTTTTACGGACGCACGATACAGCAAAAAACTTATTTCGTTGACTCGGGACTCGGTGGTCAAACTGGAGAGATGGGATGACAAGGACCGATCGGAGGATGTTGTTCTGGAAAAAGTTGGTGATGATGAGTTCCGTTTCCGTCTGTACAGGACTCAGTTTTCTGATGAGGGATCATATTACTGTATTGTGCAGGCTTGGGCTCCAGATACAAATGGGCAGTGGTCTGAAATAGTTGCAAATTCATCCAACACTGTTGCTGTTGCCTTTAAAACTGCAGGTAGGTTCTCAATTTAATGTAATCAAACTATTGACAATCCTCCGATAACAAGTTGTTGTGCCTTTCAATGTGGTTTAATAGAAGACTGCTGATTATCTAACGAAATAGCTGCCTTTCTAATGCAGGGATGACTTAAATGTTCAGAATCTGGAAGACATATACAGGGAGTCTCCAATTTGTGAATGTCCATTTACGAATGCTTTTACTTAAAGGCGTGTAATTTTAAAGATCTAACATACAAACATTTCCTGTCCTTTGAGCAATTCCTTCCATATTGTCCAGCATCGTGTTCTGACTTGCCTTCAAATTGAATTGTGAGTTAACTCAAGAATGGGACCTGTTCACAACTCGGGGACTGCCTGTAATCTCTTTGCAGTATGAATGTTACATCTATGTTTTCGTAAGTCCAGGCTATATTTTGCCTTGCCTGCATTCAATAGTGTAAACTAAAGATCCATCAGATTTGAGTTTTTGTTTCCAAATTAAAAAATTTTAACACCACTGAAACTTTGACAACAGTTGGTTTTTTGTTGAGTTATAAATTAACCCAAAGCTGTAATGAAATTTCAGTGTGGCTAACACTTGTTAAACAAATCTTCAGCTTTTTTATTAAAAAGCAATGGAGGAGATTAGAGGTTAGAATGGAATAGCTGATTTTGTAAATAGTTGATTTGCTAAAAGCACAGTGTACTTTGTCTTTGACCATGCATCAATTTTATTTTTGAGTGCTCAATATTTAATAGTCTGTAAATGACTAATCCAGTTCATGTTCTATCAGCATATTCAGTGTGCTGTGTTCAAACTTAGCCTGGATTTGTTTTTTGAAACTCTCTACATTCCTGAAATAATTAACAAAAAACTATAATTAATACTGCATGTGATTTGAGGTTTCTGGGTTTTGATTAGGTGGCAGTGTAATTATACCTGACACTGATATTTTAGATGCTATATTGTTTCTAGAATCTCTGCATCAGTGCATGTGGTTTCAGTTCAGCTGCCCAGCTTATCTTTTATAGGTGAATGTTCTGCCAGTGAAATTCTTGTTGGCATATTATTTAGAGCAAGATCAAGGGAAATGCTGTTTTTAATCAGGTTGCAGCTCCCAACACTGAAAAGAAACAGGTTTTGCTTTATTCTAGAGCTGCAACAGAACTGTCATTAAGTGTGGTTACCACAGCTCAAATTAATTTGTTACTGATTTAAATGTTCATTCTTCACCTCGGGGAGTATTTACCTCAACCCATTTTGGGGAATAGAATTATTCTGATGCAGGACTAAACAGAATGTGTTTAGAACATAACATGCAATAAGTAACTGTTTGTAAACATAAAGCACCATGGACTGCAAGTTTCAGCTTCAATTTCCAGTCCGATCAGAATTAGCTATATGCTTGGGCTTGGTTGTTAGGCTTTACATAGTTCAGCCTACTGTCAATTCCCATTCAGAAAACAGCATCAAAAAGTGTCCTTTCTTCCTTTTGAATAAAATTTCCAACAAAATTTATCAGTGAAGAAAATATATTTTCAAGGAAGCTATCCTGTGGCAACAAAATTGCATGCCAGCAAGAGATCAGTGCCTTCAGTACAGGACAGATTGGGAGAAAATGTTTTTTTTTTAAAAAAAATAACATTACACTCTCTTTGGCGTATGTTCAATGCAGCTGACCACAAGCAGTAAATGCACCCTACTAATAGTTTAGTCCAAGGGCCATATGTGACTATATGAACAGGTCAGAAAGTAGAATTGGCTTCCTATTTAACAATCTCTTTGGCTGCAGCAGATACTTTTTGTAGGATGTGGTGGTCCTGCTTACCATTTTTTTTAATTTAGTTAGATTAAAATGGAGCCAAATCACAAGCTTGTCTTGAAAGAGGGGTTTTATTGCCTCCTAACACTCAAATTTAGGTAATGACTAATGTTTTTTTTTTTGAATGTTTGTTTGAGAAGCTAGATTTTCAACCTGAGGCCATTTTGTTTAATGGTTGACTTGTACTCTGCAGCAGTGGTGAAGTTTTTATGGATCCTGTATTAGCAGTGAATAATTGCTTTCCTAAGTTCCTTTTAAGTATTTATTGGGTACTGCTTTCGAGATTACAAGCACTTTTTTTGTTGGTTCATTTTCATTTTCTTTTTCTCTTCCTCCGCTTTGATGATCAAGCGGCGATTAATGTAAGTCAGTTTGTATATTTGTGTCAGATCCATCATCCTTCCAAGCTGATTACTCTCCAGGCAACATTTCATCTCCAAATATGAATTTATCATGCGAGTGTGAGCTTACAGGCAGAAGCTGAAACAGGAGGATCCTTCACAATAGTGGGATTTCAACCCAAGTCCCCAGAATGTTATCTGGGTCTCTGGATTAACAGTTCAGCGATTAATACCACTAGACCTTTGCATCCCTATGTGACTACAATAATTCAAATCAAATTAAACAAAATATTTTCTTAATGCTGACTTAGTTATTGTGTTTTGTATTTGTTCACTTATGGGACATGTGTGTCGCTGGCTGAGACAGCATTTATTGCCCATCTGTAGTTATGAATGATTTCACCTCTATCTTCTTAGATATGTGGCATTAAAAAGTTTTGTCACCACAATTTGGTGCCATTTTGAGTTACAAAAAGAATAAAAATAAATTATTTAAATGGGGTTCATCTTTTGTTCAAATTGGATCTCAAGCCCTTGAGAAGGTGATGGACTGCAGTGGTTCAAAGCGGCAGCTTACCATGTGCTATAAGTTGACCCCGATCCTCCTTGAGGGAATTCCAGGATTTTAACCTGGGACAGTGAAGGAATAGCAATATATTTCCAATTCAGGGTGTCAAGTAGCTTGGAGGGGAACTTGTAGATGATGGTGTTTCCTTGTATCTGTTTCCTTGTATCTGTGCCCTTCTCCTTCTACATGGAAGTGGATGTGGGTTTGGAAGGTGCTGTCGAAGGATCTTAGGTGAATTTCTACAATGCATCCTGAAGATAGTAAGAGCAGTATGTACTGTGAGTGTTGGTGGTTGAGGAAGTGAATGCTTGTGGAGGTGGTATCAGTTAAGCAGGCTGCTTTGTCCTGGATGGTGTCAAGTTTCTTGTGTTGAGAGTCCAGGCAAGTTTCACTGTCTTTGGATGAAATTGTAACTATAGTGTAGATGGGTTTTGTGCACCTCCAGTGGTTTATTAAAACTCATCCCAATCTCAGACCAGGGGATCATGGTTACTTTAGAAAAGGAAAGACAATTGCCTAACAAAAATCACATTAGTTCATGAAAGTCTTTGTTTAAAAAAAGTCAGATGATGGAAGTTGTCATGACAATGGATTGTCAATATTCACGTTAGAAGGAAGACCAGTACTTCGAGTGGAATTTCAAAGTTTAAAGCTGCACTGAGTAAATAATTAGAGTATAATAAAATAAACCATTGTTTGTCTCTCTCATCTTGCTCTGCAGCTCCTCGGTTTAATGTGACTTTACAATCTGAGAAGCCTCATGTCTTCCAAGGCGAGACTGTGGAAATGAATTGCACTGTTGATCTATCGGACGTACCTAACAACTCAGGTAACTTTAGCGACAACCCTATTGGGAGGTCTGTACTAGCTTCCTAAGAACGTGCTGTACCCAGAAGGCTCATGGTTTCAAGCAGATGATGTCTGAAATCTTCAGGCAAGCATGGTTACATTCAACAGCTCTACAGCGCTGGAATCTGCTGTTTGTTACTCATCACCCTCGCTCCTCTCCTGTTGCTCTGTATGCATGTCTATGATACAATGAATATTGAAGGATAATACTAGTCACCGTTCAGACGAAGTCTTCCATCATATCTATAATCAGGGCCCAAGCAGTCAAGACTCTCGAGTTCTTCTGTTAAAGTCTTGCATCTTTAAATGCTTATATAGTTGAGATTTCATAGAAAGTTGACTTGAGTGGATGATATAGGGGGCATTTCAAAACATGACTTATTCTGGTGTAATTGAGGTGATTGGAAAGAGTTGCGACTCCAAAGGAGGAAAAAATGGGAATTTAACTGTTTATTAAAAATGTAGCTCTTCTTTAAAATTTGCTTTGCCGTTTGATCTCATTGACAAATGATTGGAGGGTTGTAGATAAATGTGACATGGATGATTGTAATGGTGGAAGATGCAGGACAATCCTGTCATTTATGCGTGGGAATCCTCCCCTTTTCTCCTTGTTTAAAACATATTTGGGTCAATGTCAGGAGGGAAAATGTCACACAGTTAATAAGTAATCCAATGGATTTTTAAAAGAAATGAACATTGAAAACCAGGCTTGGCCTTTTTCCCCCTATAATCTCCACAACCCTCTAAATATGTTTGTGTTCCTAAACTCTGGCTGTTTAAACATTCCTGATTTTAATTGGTCTATAATTCATGGCTGTGCCTTGAGTTGAATATAAGCTCCAAGTTCTGGAATTCTCTCTTTATCACTGTCTCTACCTTGCTTTCTCTTTTGAAGACACTCCTTAAACTGAGCGTTGGAGGCAGGTTTGCGATCATCTGACCTAATCTGTTTTATGTGGCTGAGTCATTTTGTTTTAGAATGCTCCTGTAAAATGCTTTGGGATTTTATGACATTAAAGTGTTTTTCTTGACTGCACTCAGAAAGCCATTAATGCATCCTACTCCAGTGCAGTAGAATATGGAAAGACTTTTTGGAATTAAATTTTCCCCCTGTATCATTGACCCCATCCCCCACCCTGGTAAAACTTTGAAACAAAGGTCATTTAAGATTCTGCTTTAGAGTGAGCGGCAGTTCCACCTGTTTGTGGTATTTCTAAAGCTGCTTCCCTCTTGTATAATTTTCTAAAATGAAACTCCATTCAAAGATCTTCTTCTATTTGAATTTTATCCCATTGTTTCACTTGGAATCAATAGGCAGGGTGCTGCAATGACCTTTTTGAAGTTTTTACTGAAGCACTTGACATTGATTTGATCTTGTGCAGGAGCAATTAAACTCACTATGTAATCTATTTGAACCCTGTTAATTACTGTGTTTTATTAACTGCTTTCTTCACCTGTTCTGCCACCTTTTAAATAATTTTCCACATGTAGGGCCCTCTTCTCCTTTGTCCCCTTTTTAAGAGTTGTACCCTTTTTAGACTGTTTCTCCATCTCCTTCCTACCAAAATGTGGGGGTCAGTTAGCTCAGTTTGTAATGCAGACTGATGCCAACGGTTTGAGTTCAACTGCCACACTTCTCGACCTCTCCCCTCACCTGAAGTACGGTAATCCTTGGGTTAAACTATTCTAAGAGCAGCCCTATGAACCTATAGGACTTTAGCGACGTCACCTTTACCTCGCACTTCATTTGTCACCCATCTGCCCACTTCTCCAACTTCTGTGTTTTCAAGATTTTCACCATCCGTCTCGTAGTTTATCATGCTTTCAAGTTTTATATCCTCTGCAAATATTGAAGCTGAAATTATATCCAAGGTCATTTCAGAATTTCATGTTTCTTTTTGTTTTCATAAGCTAGCACAGGTTAATTAAACTTTAACATTTTATTTGAAGGAATGAATAATGTTGCAATTTACAGCTCCCTGGCACCGCTGTGATCCTAAGGAAGTCTTGAAAGGTGTTGCCAGTGCCCGAGTAGTTTCCTTTCTCACTTCATTCAGCATGTTTTGAACGCATTTCACTTGCTGTCCATGGCTTGTCACTTTAAGTTCAATCTGCCTATGCAATTCCTTCTCGTCCTCCATTCTAAACCCTCTAGCATATATCCTCCTCTGTCATCACAGCCTGGGAAGCATCTGCTTTCTTGGTAAAGACAAATTCAAATGGACGTGAAAGCATGGCTGAAAGAGTAAATAAATACATTGCATCTGATTTCCTCAAGGTAGGAGATGCAAAATGCTTGTTTCAGCCATACTTGTTGCCTCTTAAAATAAAATAAAACGCAGATGCTGAAGATTTGAAACAAAAACAGAAATTGCTAGAGAAACTCTGAAGAAGCGTCACTGGACTCAAAACCTTAACCCTGTTTCTCTCTCCACAGATGCTGCCAGACCTGTTGAGTTTCTCCAGCATTTGCTATTTGTACTGTTTCCCTCTGTATATAAATCCCCCTTTCGGTCACCATTGGGGCCCACTCCTCCTTTTTACTACGTATATGCCCACAGAAGACACTAGCATTCCCTCTCCTGTTAGTTGCTAATCTCTTTTGGTGTACCCTATTTGCTTCTTTTCATTTCTCCAGTTCCTCTTTAAATCTTCTATATTCAGCTTGGTCCTGAATTTTTATTTTATGCCTGACATTAGCATAGTGTTACTTTTACTACTTTGTCACAATTTCCATCTCTTTCTGAATCAGGCAGCTTTGGATTTGTTTGCCTGATCATCTGTGTCCATACTATCTATTTTTTTTTTATCGCCAAGGTGGCCCATTGTTCAGCTACCATTTTTCTCGCCAAGCTTTGACTCCAAATTATTCAACTCAGCCATTTTTTACCTTTATTTGAATTTGGCCTTCCCTCAATTGATTATTCTTCTAGATTTTTCTTTAACCACCTAACTGATGTAAATTCTGGTGTCGTGAATGAGCTGCATCTCTTGAAAGATGAAATGAATTTGAATGTATTCAAGATTGTAATGAAGCGATTCTAAACTAAATTTTGATGAACTGACATTCCTCCTAGATGTCTTGTATGAAGTCGAATGGTTTGTGACCCAACAGTTCTCCAATGACACAAGCCAACGTCCTCTGCTGTCGATAGATCAAAGGTCAGTGGTGACCCATCTGAAAGCCAATACTGATATCAGCGTTGAACGAATCAGCATGCACGAATTCAGTCTACGACTACACTGTTCTGAGAAGACGGTTGCTGGGGATTATCTTTGCAAAGTCACACCTTGGGTAAAATCAGAGACTGGAACATGGCAGAAAATGCCTCCACAACATTCTGATTCTCTTTCCGTACGCGTTGATGTTTCAGGTTAGTTTTATTTCTCATTCAGAGCTATCTTTGAGTAAAGCTGAAATGCTTGGATGTGGCCAGGAATGATTGATTTCCTGTTTTCAGAGATTTTTTCATTGGGCTTCCCCTAACGTTTTACATAAATAATGAAATCAAGAGAAGGAGGGAATTTAATATTTTTTCAGCACAATATTTATTAAGTTTTTAATGTCGGTTTGTTCAAAAGATTTTTACAATATTTTTGAAGCAAATTGAATTATAATTCAAACTTGTGACTTACACTGCCTACTGGAAATGTGATGCTTCATGCTGTAAAACATTCTAGTTCATACTTGTGCACACCAACTAAGTAAAATTTTTACTTGGAATTGTACCTCCTTTTTGAAAATTGGAGAAAAGAAAATATTAGAGTCGATGATTGCCAAGGAAGTAGAGCTTAAAAGTTGAAAGCCAAAATTTCCATTGTGATTAATTATTTGCTTTGTTCTTACCTTTTGTTTTGAGTATAGTTGTTCTGAATGTGAATTGATCCTTTTCTGAAATCCTAAGTCTCTTGTTTTGAATGTGGAGAAAGAATTGACAGGCTGTTCTTGTTGATGGCATCACAGTCCATTTGGTTTTACCCACTGTTCAGAGATATGCGCTTCCTTTTTTTTTGAGGCTAATCTCTGGATGGCCAGCAGGACTGATGTCCTGTTTTTCTTTGCTCCTCTTCCCTTTTCGCACTGAGCCATAATGGCAGCAGACTGAGAATAACAAAGTCAATCTTGACAAGAGGCAGACCTGCAGAGCGTGTCGTTTTAAACCAGGCAGTCTGTTTAAAGCTTATATGATTAGGGAAGGACTTAGTTCACTTTCAAACACCAAGAGTGACCTTTTAAAAACGCAGGTTTAGCAGACAACGGTTGGCCCTTGTACCAAAGTGATGTTGAACCCTAGGCCTCTAACTTTAAAATAGCCTTTTAATAATACCTGTTAAGGCAATGAAATGTCCTTTAGAAATGAGCAAAAGCACTGGCTAAGCACACGATACCTGTAGAAAGTTTTGAATATCTGTGTTTTATACTGGCTGCAAAGTTAACTCTGGACAGAATGTAGTAACTGTGATTCACCATTTGACATCTAAGGAGGAGAGGTTTATCTGGTCTCATGAAAAATGGATTGTCTATGTTGGAGTGCATGTCTGTGAAGGGACTGCCAGATGTTCCTCCAGTTAATGCAGACATTGAAAAGCTGTGTGGTTCTGTTACTCCCCCTTGTCCACCATTAATAAATTCCTACAAGTTTGTGCCTCGGCAGCCTGGTGCCTCAGTGTATCAAAATATTTCCCTACTTTCCCCCTATATCACCGTCTATTTTGAGATGGTGACATCCTGGAGGTCTCTGAACAGTGCTTTCAGGAGAAGGTTTCTATGACAACAGTAATTGCTCATCTCATCTTGTGAAAGTAAACGTAATAAAAGCTGGTTTGATTACATAGCTCGTACTCTTGCAGCTGTGACAATGATATTCTACTCAAACAGGAGAAGTAGTTCATAATTCACAACTACAACGTATATCCCCACAGATTTCGCTCCGTAGTGTTTCTGAAAAATCTTTGTAGTGCTTTCCCAAGGGTGACAAATAATCTGTGGGCTTTACCTTGAGCTAGGCGATGTGACAGTATATCCGTAGATATACACTAATAGGATGCAGAGGGATGAGTCAACTGGCCTCCTTTTTAGTCATCATTATTTTGTGATCTCTGTTATCAACATGGTTACACAGTCTTTCTAGTGCTGAAATACCCTTTTCACATAGCTGTGCAGTCACTTGTTAACGTTATACTCCAGCCAGGTTCTAGTAATAGAATTAAACAAAGAAATTGGACAAGAACGAAAGGAAAGATAAGTCAAGCAAAAGTCAGAAATTGTTAAAATACAGATGTTTAATGAGAAATGAGATGAAGGTAGTATTGCAGATTACGGGAATGATCAGGCATCTCAGAAGGACACAATGCAGGTGGGACTCAAAAATAAAATTCAGAAAGATTGGACAAAAGTGGTGCTGGAATACGATATTTGCATATTTCAGCACGTAAGAAAAGACCAGAGGATCAGATACTAATTTTTGTCTTCCTGTTTTCTCTCATTCCCTCCCTATTCTCACTTCTAGTGCTGGATTCCTTCAAAATGCCTTTGATATATGGGATTGGTATTGCTATATTAATTGGATTTCTCACCTGTGCAATTGGTTACTGTTCTTCTCGCTATTGCTGTGGGGAGAGAACGGCACAAAGATATGAGCAACACAAATTAATATCGATGGCCACAGACTGAGGTGACAATCTCTTGCAGTGTCGGAGGAGTGACCATTGGATAAACTGCCTAAACTCTGCAAATTTTCGGGAAAAGAAAAGCAGATGTTCAAGACGTGTTTTGTTTTAAGAATGTTAACGTGCAATGATTGTAATTTTCTTCTTTTTTAAAAGCCATTTTCAAATATTCAAGTGGGGTACAAACACTTTGTGTGGGAATGTCACTGTGATTTTGTTAATTATTTTTCAGTGGAATGAGTGATACTGTGGAGATACTGCAGTATTCCTCAACATCTGCCCATCTCTATTGACAGAAGATCTAACTCCAGCTGCATTTCCTTGGTTTCTGCTGGTCAGTCACCATTCCTGTGATTTCAGATTATTGATCAATTTGGGGTGTAACTTGAATATTATTGCCTTGAATGGCAATAGGAATGAGAGTTCATACTGTGAAATGCAAGTTCTAAATTACAGTGAAATATTGATTCAAGCAGAGAGCCAAGTTTTACCATTTTCGTTTTTTTTCTAAACAAGTCCTGAAGCCAATAAAATAAGCAGTCTTTGATTCTGATGGAGACTGGCTTGAAAAGGAGACTGGTGCCAAGCGCTAAAATGGGCTGCAGCACAAGTTTTCTTTGGGAGTGTTTAAAGGGAGAGGCAGTAGTTCCATTATATACAATGTGTTCTCGAGACACTATTGAGAGAGAATAATTGTGCAATTGTTTATTGCTGTCTTTGAACATGCACAAGTTGAAATTTACTCGCGTGGGTATTGATCTTGCCATGGTTCACTCCAATACAGTGCATTTCTGTCTGATCTTAGTGTGAAAGATCTGCTTTCAGAACAGTATAGTTTGCTGTTTAAGTTAAGATATTGCAATTAATGTAGCTTTAAAAAAAAATAAAAACGCAGTCTAAACTGTTGCCTGCTGCTGGTTTGACATTGGTGCAGGTAGGTTGGGGCAGGTAGTTCAGTGTGGGATGATATCACTCAGTAAATCACTTTGTATATTTGCTGCATATGAGACACCTTTTTTGAAAGACAAAAAAAGATACAAAAGAATTCAGCTGATGAAAAGGCTTGTTTCTCAACAGATCATGAGACATTGAATGTAATGTATTTATCAGTTCTGGGTAAAGCCAGTTCTGTGGAACACCATTTTATCTCTGGTCAAGTGCTACTACCAACACATCCTTCCAGTTTTACTGCAGTGTTGATGCTGGAACTGAGGGAAGAGACTTGATGAGAAATCTCATTGTCTTTTCCATCTGTTTTGCACACTGAGTGGGGAATCGGATCACCAGCTGTACAGTGTTGACCTCCTGTATAACTCAGCTCAATTTGGTGCTCTGAGGAAAATTGAAATTGAGTGAAGAGGCCTATTGCTGTATGTCTGTCCCTGTTAGCACCACTGAGGATTTTCCTTTGGGCCTAGCTGGGAAGAAAGCTCCTTCACCACTTCATGTTACTGATGGAAATAGATAAGGTCCAGGAAATGTACTCAAATTTGTTTCATTTTGTCACTATTGATGCTGATTTTAATGATTGCTTTTAAGAGGGATCACTGTTGAGATTCACTGGTAGCATTGCAAGGCTTATTGGAACTGCTTTAGGAGGGAGTAGGCCCGCTGAAAGGAGCCTCTCCTTCCTGTTTAGGCCCATAATCTTGCCCACTGTAGAACTATGATTGACTGTGAGCAGTGGCTGGCTCCCCTTCGCAGGCAGTCTCTTTGCTCTGGTCTACATCACAGAACAGCACAATCCCTTTAAAATGACAGTCCTTCCTCTACAGGTAATGATCTTGCCTGAAAATCCAGACCTGACCTTTTTGTGTTTATTTGTGGAGCAGTATACTGGCCTCTCACTTGCAGATAAGTGAAGCATATTTGCTAACCATCTCAATAGAAGAAAACAGACAAGTATAATGCAGTTCTTCTATTGTCTCCAGCACACTTTTTTTAAGAAGAGCATTATCTTGTGTTTGACATGTACAGACTGTTGTTCCGCATAGGTTAGCGAACAAATCAAGTGCCAAAGTCATTTGATGAAAATGACCGTAACGCAACAAAGATTCTTTTAAGCTGTTTAATTGAGTGATTGCGATAAACTGACGTAAGAAATCTTTTTTGCTTAAGATTAATAAATAGTGTTTTTATTTAATAGCACTTAAACCTATAACTGTAATAACCTGGATCCATAACCACTGCCTGAGCTATAATTGTCCCCTTAATTTCTCCGTTAGAATTGTTTTTTTAACCCAAGGGAATTGTACCTTCCTTCTAGAAATTCATGAAAGTGTGTACACTTGTGAAGGCAATACAGTTACTGATGTCTTGCGTATTCAGATTTTTTTGTCTTTACCTCCGATTTCCAAATTGTTCAATTTTATATTTTGTTAATTATCAAGATGAATAAATCAACTACCCATCTTGAAACATAGTACTGTTAGCATGAACCTCCTGAAGAATTCTGAATACACTGGAATCAAGATCCAGGGCGAGTGTTTGAGATAGTTAAATTTCCCTCCACACCTTTTTTTAAAAAAAAATCTGGAACTGAAGTCTTTTTTTAAGTGACCTTTGACATTTTATAGAATATGATGTAAAGATGTCTTTATTTCTATCACTTTTCTTTTGAGAAGGAACATGATAAATCCTTAAGTTGATTAGTTTTCAAAATCAAGTCGATTTTAGAAAGAGATGCAGGAGTGTGGTGATTGCATCTTACAGGGTGGTGGATGCTGAGTGGATGGGAAGTGTTAATTTGTTGAACCATCTCTTCATTTCTTTGTTTTATTTATTTTAAACTTCAGATGACACTTAACAATTGAAGTTTCTGTACCAAATAGTGGTAGGTAGTCATACTGAAAAAAATTTACTTGGAAAGCTTTTTGTTGTCAGAAGTATTATGTACACTAGAGGTATACACAGTCACTGTAAAATTGGCCATGTTTCCAAATTAAAAATGATACATGTTTCTGATGGAAAACTGCTTGATTTTTAATCTTAAAACCATGTACCCTCTCTCATGCCTAGGCTTTGAGTAAATTCCTGTTGATATGCAGTTTAGAATTTAGGTAGGATGCACTCCATCACATTCTAGTGCTCAATTACAAAAACATAATTTTCCTGTATTATTACTTAAGATATTTTTAGTCTTTAAAGGATCTGGTACTGACCTGTTGAGAAACAATTTTGGGCTTCAAGATTTTCTACATTTTTTTTTTTTTAACACATGGTTTAACCAAAATTGTCAGTAACTTCAAAATGTTTAAATTAAAATTCTTAAAACGTGCAAACTCTTAGGAACATTTCAAGTTTTCTTTAATTGTCTAAACTAAGTTGCATTTTTTAAATGTATTGTACATTAAAACACTTCAAACTTCATGCGAATTAAAGTTTTCTCATGGCTCATTCAAATGCTTGGTGAACGTGTTTCTAGAAAGTTTTCATTCCTTATTTGTTAATTTCCTGTGGCACATTGCCAAGAGACAAATGCAAAAATGTTTGACCTTAAGCCAGGGCAGGTGTCAGTGGGGAAGCACTTTGGGGCCTGTAACCATAATTCTATTAGTTTTAAAATAGTATGGTAAAGGATAGACCAGATCTAAAAGTTAAAGTTCTAAATTGGGGGAAGGCCAGTTTTGGTGGTATTGGGCAAGAACTTTTCAAAAGTTGTTTGGGGGTATATGTTTGCAGGTCAAGGCTTGGCTGGAAAATGGGAAAATTTCAAAAATGAGATAACAAGAGTCTAGAGACACTCTGTTCCTGTTAGAGTGAAGGGGTGTGCTGGTAGGTGCAGGGAATGCTGGATGACAAGAGAAATTGTGGTTTTGGTCAAGGAAGAAAAAAAACGTATGTCTGGTATAGACAGCAGAGACTGAGTGAATCTTTAGAGTGTAAAGGCAGTATGAGTATACTTTAGAGGGAAATCAGAAGAGCAAAAAGGGACCATGATATAGCTTTGGCAAATAGGGTTAAGGAGAATCCAAAAGGATTTTATAAATACATTAAGGACAAAAGGGTAACTAAGGAGAGGATAGTGCTCCTTAAACATCAGTAAGGCCACCTATGTGTGGAACCGCAAGAGATGGCGGGGAGGTGGGGGAAGAGGTGACACTAAATCACCACTTGCTGTGGAGAAGGATATGGAAGATAAAGAATGTGGGGAAATAAATAGTGAAATCTTTAAAATGTCCATATTACAGAGGAGGCGGTGCTGGACTACTAAAGACGCATAAAGGAGGATAATCCCTGAGACTTGATCAGGTGTATCTTAAACTCTGTGGTAAGGTAGGGAAGTGATAGGTGAGCCCCTTGCTGTGATACTTCTATCATCGATAGATACAGGTGAGGTGCTGGAAGACTGGAGGCTGGCTAATGTGGTGCCACTATTTTTTTGAAATGTTGGTAAGGAAAATCCAGGCAACTATAGACCAGTGAGCCTGACATCAGTGGTGGGCAAGTTGTTGGTTGGAAGCCTGAGGGGCAGGATTTACATGTATTTGGAAAGTCAAAGACTGATTAGGGATAGCCAAATGGTTTTGTGCATGGGAAATCATGTCTCACTAACTTGATTTGAGTTTTATTTGATGTAATGAAGAGGATTGATTTGAGAGCAGTGGATGCGAATTACATGGACTTCAGTTAGGCGTTCGACAAGATGCGGCATGGTAGACTGGTTAGGAAGGTTAGATCACCTAAAAGACGGAGAACTAGCCATTTAGATCAAAACTGGCTTGAAGGTAGAAAACGGAGTGGTCAGTGGAGGGTTGCTTTTCAGACCGGAGGCCTGTGACCAGTGGTGTGCCACAAAGATCACTGCTGGGTCCACTGCTTTTTGTCATTTATATAAATGAGTTGGATGTAAACCTAGGTATGGTTAGTAAGTTTGCAGCTGACACCAGAATTGGACGTCTAGTTGACAGTGAAAAAGGTTACCTCCGGGTACAACAGGATCGTGATCAAATGGGCCAATGGACCGAGGAGTGGCAGATGGAGTTTAATTTAGATAAATGTGAGGCACTGCATTTTGGGAAGGCAAATCAGGGCAGGACTTAGACTTGATGGTAAGGTCCTTGGGACCGTGGCTGAACAAAGAGACCATGGGGTGCAGGATCAAAGCTCCGTGAAAGTGGAGTCGCAGGTAGATAGGGTAGTGAAGGCAGCATTTCGTATGCTTGTCTTTATTGGTCAGTGCATTGAGAGTAGGAGTTGGGAAGTCACGTGGCTGTATAGAACATTGGTTAGACAACCTTTGGAATACTGCATGCCATTTTTGCCTCCTTGCTTTTGGCCAGATGTTGTGAAACTTGAAAAGGTTCAGAAAAGATTTACAAAGATTTAAGGGTTTGAGCTATAGGGAGAGGCTGAATAGGCTGGGTCTATTTCGCGCCCCACCCCCGCCACCCGGAGTGTGGGAGGCTGAAGAGTGACCTTTTTAGAGGCTTATAAAATGAGGGGTTTGGACAGGGTGAATAGATGAGGTATTTTCCCCAGTGTAAGGAGCCCAAAACTAAAGGGCATAGGTTTAAGGTGAGAAGGGAAAGATTTAAAAAGGACTCGAGGGGCAACTTTTTCATGCAGAGGGGACAGTGCATTGTATGGAATGAGCTGCCAGATGAAGTGGAGGAGCCTGGTACAATTAGAACACTTCATGTATCTATCCAGGTGCCTTTTAACAGGACGGGTTTAGAAGGACAAGGGCCAAGTTCTAGCAAATGGGACTTGATTAACTTAGGATATCTGGTCAGCATGGACAAGTTGGACTGAAAGGTCTTTTTCCCTGCTGTGCATCTCCATGACTGTTAAATGCTGGAAACAAATTCCCTAAAATCAAATTTCTGATTATTTCTCAAAACACCCATCTCTGCACCTTTTTGTTATCTGGAAAACGGGCAAAAATGATTGTTGCCACTGCTATTCCTTCTTTCAAATTGTTCCCTTTGTAATTTTTCTTTTAGTTCCTACAGCAACTTTTTAGCCAGCAGTCCCTTTAAAGGACTCGTATAGAGAAAGTAAAGCCAGGAGGAATCCAAATGTTCTCCTTGGTTCTGAAGAAAGTTTGCATGCTTGCTGGTCTCTTATTCTCCTTCTGTGCTTCTAGGATGTTGCTGAGGCCTGCTGCTGATAGGGAAGCTCTGCCAATTGAGTTGAAGGAATAGTTGATCCAGATAGAAGAGCAGTACCTCTGGGTTTGTATCATGACTGTGAAATGGTGCAGAGAGGGGAAGGTCTGTGAAAAGGGAAAGATGGCAACAAAAACAAATTACTGGAATAACTCAGCAGGTCCATCAGCATCTGTGGAGAGCAATCAGTTAACGTTTCAGGTCTAGTGACACTTCCTCAGAACTGATGGTAGCTAGGAAAGTGTCGGTTTATATGCAGAAGATAGGGTGGGGGGAGGGGGTGTAAGGTGTAAACAATAGGTGGGGATAGAGCCCAAAGAGAATAGTTGGAGAGAGAATCTGGAGGGTGAATAGCTATTAATGGGGACTACTAGTAGCTAACAATGGAACAAAAACAAAGTTGCTGGAAAAGCTCAGCAGGTCTGGCAGCATCTGTGGAGGAGAAAACAGAGTTAACGTTTCGGGTCCGGTGACCCTTCCTCAGAACTGATGGTGGCTGGGAAAATGTCAGTTTATATGCAGAAAATAGGGAGGTGGGTGGGGTAGGGAGTAAACGATAGGATAGAGCCCAAAGAGAGAGAAAGACAGTTGGACAGACAAAGGA